AAGTTTTTCAACAGTGTTTTAAAAGTGTTTAGGGTAGAAATGTTTTTAGGATTGCATAATTTATCTCTCCTGAGCCATAAGGCCCCTGAGGGCCACAAGGATGATCAGGGGGATGGAGCACCTCTGCTACAAGGACAGGCTGAGGGAGCTGGGGTTGTTCAGCCTGGAGAAGAGGAGGCTCCGGGGAGACCTAATAGCAGCCTTCCAGTACCTGAAGGGAGCCTACAGGAAGGCTGGGGAGAACCTGTTTAGAAAGGCCTGTAGTGACAGGACGAGGGGAAATGGCTTCAAGCTGGAGGGGAACAGATTTAGATTGGAGATTAGAAGGGGGTTCTTTACTGTGAGGGTGGTGGAGCACTGGAACAGGTTGCCCAGGGAGGTGGTTGAGGCCCCATCCCTGGAGATATTCAAGGAGAGGCTCGACGAGGCCCTGGGCAACCTGGTCTAGTTGGGGGTGTCCCTGCTGACTGTGGGGAGGTCGGACTAGATGACCTTTGGAGGTCCCTTCTGGCCTGGGAAATTCTATGATTCTATGATTCTATGATAAATAAAAGCACTGCAAAGCCAGGCTCCTATTCACTACTTCCTTTATGCCGGTCACCCTTTCTTGCTATAGCATCACATGGACAATCCTGCTGAGTTGCTGGTTTGTTATCATCCCAAATTCTTTACAGACATGTTGCTTCCAGTGTTTTTCCTGTTCAGTTTTTTTCATTGTTGCATCCTGTATTTCTTTTTCCAGCATATGAAGATGTGTATTTGGCTGACTGGGAACAAATTTTCTTTAAATGTGCTTGCTATTTAAAAAAATCTTTATCCTTTTTAGTCAGTTTTTTTTTTCTTTAGTCCCAAATCAATGATGGAAATGTTGTGTAGTACAAGACTGAAGAGCCCCCCTTTCTGATGTTGAATCTTTGCTGATTACTTTCTTATGCATGTTCGTTACCCAATTCCTAATCCAGTTAAAACATGCTTTATTGATATTGTGTAGTGCTATATTTTTAATTAGAATATTGAATGATACTAAGTCAAAAGGCACACAAAAGTTGAAGTGTATTATACCTACATCGTTACCTTTGGCAACCTAACTTGAAATCTCATCAAAGAACAGAAGTAGATTTGTTTGACAAGGCTTATTTTGCACAGAACTATGTTGACTAGCATTAATTATATTTCTACCCCTTAATAATTTATTAATTGAATCTCTATACAGTTTTCCTATTACTTCTCCCAGGACTGATATTGGGCTAAGAAGCCTGAGAATACAGGTATCACCTGCTTGCCCTTAGCGGAATACCAATACGAGATGTAGCACTGCTACTTACTGCAATATCAGTGACATTGCTCCATGTCCCCTAAATGTGCCCTCTTTCCTACTTTTGGCATGCTAGGTATTCTTTTACTAAAGGGAAAAAAAATCTCATCAGAAAATGTGGAAATCCAATAATTTATATAAGTAAACTACTGAAGGCCTAGATATGCCATCGTGCAATATGTTAGAAATGAAAGTAAAATTAGTGTGAGTGTGGGAAATGATGTTACACAACTCTGCCGCATTTTTACAACATTATAATGTGCACTCAAATTAGAAACAGCAATTGAAGAAGTCTGAATATGCAGCTGTAATTCTGAAAGGCTGTTATGCTCTTGTTCTTAGAACTGTTTTTTCAGTGAGATATAAAATAGAAATAGGTACAGTCAGTTACATGTCCATTGGGATCTTTTCTGGATTACAAAATCCATCTCAAAGCATTCATTTCTGTTCTAGCTTCGTTCTGGTGGAATTGTAATATTTGAGTTTGGGCTGGATGCTTTTGGCTCCCTGCGTGCTTGATGTTTCTCGTTCTGAATAGGCTTTAATTCCACCATGATTAGTAAAGCCAGATAATAGAAAAAAGTAGTGCACAGGAGGGAACAGATAATTTGTGTCAGAGATGAGAACCCAGGTTCCAGAGAGCCACCAGGGTTTTGGGTGCTTCACGCTGAAAAACATCCCAGGGTCTCCCTTTCAAGCTGCTCCGCTTTAAGCAAATTATTGATTCAGAGGGAGGAATAAAAAAAGAATAAAACCCTGTATTTAGGCTGTTGGAACAGTAAAGGGTGTGTCAGCATCAAGATTAAGTCCTTGGTCAAAAGAAGCTTTAATGATTTTATGTATGGAAGGACTCCCATACTGAAAAGATTCAAGATTCAGAGACCCTCATCTTAAAATTTCACATAGTCTCTGACAAAATGTTCTCACAGACTGTGTGACCTCCTCAAAAGATGAAGAATTAGAAAATTGGCTTCATGAAATCATTAAGTTTTGAGTTTCTGCACCTATTTAGCATATGTTGCACAGGAAGTTTCAACAATCATTTCTAATTTTTGAGAGCTTGACTTGCAATCTTAGAACTTCTTTGGCATGCATAACTTTTTTCCCATTTATTATAGACTAGCAATATGTTTATAAAAATAAGATTCTAGCTCTGCTTTGTCTTCACATAGTGATTTGACTTTCATAAATGCTTTATTTATTATTAGACTTATTTAGATATATAAATATGATCAGGGATTGCAATTTCAGGTACTTTTTGGAAATCAGGGCATAGAACCCTTTTTAATCTCTGTGATTCTGCTTTGTAATGGCTGCAATTGACACAATAAAGGGGATGAAGAGGTTTGCAAAACCATAGCAACAGATCCCATCAGTGAAGCTTTAACATCTTTTCCTGTTTGGGAAGTTCAGGACAATACTGACACGATATAAGCACTGAAAGGATACCATACAAAAAAACCCCAACTCCTGATAAACTCAACTTTTTCCTTAGTCAGCAGATAACTGATTGTCTTTCACAGATCGTCCTCCACCCCTGGTGGTGTTAGTTCACTACAAAATAGGGCTGCACAGATGTTTCAGTCTGCTACCGGCATTCCAAAGTCCAGAGAAAGCAAAAAGCAAGCCATTGACTGCTCAGCAATCTTCTTGTGGTAGAACCCACTTTCTTATTAAAATTCCTTGTTAAAATCAAACTTTAAAACAAGGTAGTATAGAGTTTGGACACTGCAAATTTCTCATGTTTCCTATTTAATTTGAAGATATTTGATATTCTGGATTTCATTGCTCATTAGGGAGCGATCATCACCTTCATTTAAAAGAATAAACTAGCTGGGCTCAAATACAGTAGATGCATTGGTAGCCTGTGCATTGATCCCACTCCCATTTATGCCATGCAAAGAAACTCTGCCTTCCAAGCTGTTGATTGCAGTGCTCTGCATTCCTGGTCAGTTTAGGCAGTACAAGGGTGCAAAAGGTACAAGCACAGAGTGTCTGTGGGTGCTTCTGAAACAGCTAAGATTGATGTTCTTTTTAAACTGTCATGCAGTAAGTTTCATGTTTGGATTCTAATTTAAGAAATTGCTTGAGTGTCTGACTTTCAATATGAGCTTAAGTCTTACTGGAGCTTAAGGAGTAAATAGGTGCATAAGAATCTTAATGACTTGGGATATTTTTACGTGAATCATTATACATGATAAATCAGAGCTTAAATTAACAGTGCATCATACACTTTCTAAAACTAACACAAAGATCTCAGTTAAGACAAATAATATCATGATTTAAGCAAATCCAAAATATACGTGAAGTTTTTAAAACCTTACATGGGATTCATACTTTCCTAACATCAAACAGGAGAAAATCCAAACAGTGTATTGAAATTTTATATTAATATTTTAATGGAATATTACTTAATAACTTTAAGGCTTGCATTAAAATCATTAATATTATATTTATTACTGCATGGCTTAATATTTTTATATGACTAGAAAATTAAAGAAACATAATTAAAATAATTCTAGGAATGGCACCATAACATGATTAAAAATAAAGTAGGTACTGCAATATTGTACAAAACCATAGCTAATTTAAATGCAACCCCCCCCTTTATGGACTATTTATCTCTGCTTATGTATGTTAGGGGAATTAAAAAGACGTTTGTTTAAAAGACTGATTTTTTTTTTTTTTTGAGAAAAAAGGGCTGCAAAGCAAGTCTTGCTATTATTTAACAAATATTAATCATGCTTACACAGAGGCCACTTGAGAAAAATTTATTGCAAGAAATTTGTGACCAGTCATGCCATAGGAAGAGGATAAAGCCACAGGGCTGAAATGACAGTAAGGTTTGTGTATGCAGTGCTCCTCTGGTAGTTAAATTACAGGAATGTGACATTGATCTGAAATGGGAGCTGTTTGAAGTAGCAACTGTCAATCTCTGTAATCAAAGGATGGCCCAAAGTCTTACTCAATTAGCCATTTTGGCATGACCACTCAGTTTATAAAGTCCTACCAACTCAAAAAGTGATCTCTCTTCAAGAGGCACTTCAAGAAGCCTATGCAGCTTGAGGACAGTGAACAGTCATCCAGGACTATAGTTTGGACTCTTTATTTTTGTTGGTTTTTCTTTTTTTTTCCCCAAAAGTGCAGCAATGCCTCATTTAACTGACTGTACTTATTACAAGGTGAGCCAAATATGCATTTAGGTATGAGTGAATGTCTGCTGCTGTTGGTATTTATTGAAGTTAGCTGTATTATGTTTTCCTTTATACATTTGTTTACTCTTTCAAGTACAGAGGAGTAACGATGCTGTGATATTAATTTTAGGATGTAAATGTAAAATTGATTGTGATGATCAGTGACTTCAACAGGGATCACTCTTAAATGAGAAGGGAAAAGTGTGTAGCATATTTCTGGTCTTTTCGCAGGATCATGTTTATTTTTTCTAATTCTGTTTTTCTTTGATAATTATTCAGAAGGTTCATTCAGCTGTGTTAGGGGAAAACAGTACAAATAAGAAATGTGTAAGGGTGCAAAACTGAAAAACCCCAATATTTAAGGTTAAAAATATTTCTATCCAAATGTTACTAAAGCTGAATCTATCGTTTTGAAGTTTTTTGAGTGAACATTTAGTCAAACACTGGTACCAGTAACTTGAAACTTAGCAATTATTTCCATTCCTTCCCAGGTACAAACACACTTGGAAAATCAATCTAGATACCACATACAGCAAAGCCAGAGGCACCAGGTGAAGCAGTACCTGACCCTCGATACCAAGCTGTCCAGCCAGACCCTTTCCCTCTCCCACTCCCACACAATCCAACCTGCAGGAGTGACCTCCATTTTAAGAAACGGACACATGCCTCCGGTCAGTGATATTGGGACACCAGAAAGCCCTGTTACCAAGCTGCTGGCCCTTGAAGGAGAACATGAAAATGCGGTAGGGCCGGGTTGGCAAAAGGAATGGGGAAATGGGCTGTGCGTCCTTCTACAAAAGCGTTACTTGACCCACACTGTATTGGTGGTGGGCAAGAGATGACTTTACTTTCACAGGGCCTTTGGTTGCAGCACTTGCTCCCTGAATCCTTTTGGACTATGTGGGTGATTCCCTCCAATGCCTGTGAATAGCTTATTGCATGGCCAGGCTTCTAAATTACTGCCAGTTAAAATGTACTGTTGCATCTTTTTATCTATGTGTCATATATTGCTGTACATTTTTGAATATGTACTTTGCAATGCAAAAATTCTTTTTTCAGATGAGAGCTATTTCTGTCTAAAAGTATTATCCTAGCTGCATAACAAAGTTAAATACAGATTACCTTAAAGATGTAACTGAAAGAATCGCTCATTCATTTTTCAGTCAGCTGATATATTTATATATGGGTTATCTTGGGTAAATTGGCATAGATATGCTAACTTTAGTGCCACCATCGATTTTAATAGAGGTACAGCTATTATACAATGTCAGATTCTCAGCCAGTGTAAGATGTAGATCATTATGGCCTTTAATACTTCAATAGGTTTCAAGAGAGAGTGCTTATTAGGTAAAAGGGGAATTCCTACAGAAATAAGAAATGGAGATGCTGTATGATATCTTGGGCTCTAACAGATCAGAGGAATCTTACAAATAGAGTGTGGACCATTTGAGCATTTAGCATTTATGCAGCTAAGCGTGAGGAAACTGAAGAAAACAAACCCAACAACATTTCCTGGAGAGCTCATCTGGGGCCCTTCCATTCCTTCTGCATTGACAACTGATATTTTATGTCAGGTTTAATGGAGCTACTAGTCTGCAAAGATGGTTTTAGATGCCCTTTGTGGAGGTTTCTGTGGTCACCTCTGTGCTGACAAGCGCCCTGTACTGGAACCATTGTCAGGCATTTTGGGTGTCTGACCAGGAACAACTCCTGCCCACCCTAGTACAACTCTCTGTCCTCAAGAGCAAGATGGCTGCTTATAAACCATTCTCCTCGACTGTGCTTGGTGATGGCTGGGAGAGTGATAGTTCACACAGGCCAAAGCCCCTGTAGGCATCAGTCCGACACTTTGGATAATCCCATTCCAGAGCTTCAGGGAGATGACTGGCACAGTGCAGCTTCCTAGTTGCAGATGTGCCCAGTGCTTCAGGGTAGGTTGTAGGTATATTAGAAGATAGTATAGATCCAACACTCAGGTTCATGCACTAAACTGTGGTCATTCATATTGTATAATTGCTGGCATTTCCTGGCATCCTTTTGACCGAGACAGCACTTTGCTAAATAAGTCTGGGCACAACTCCTCAGAGAAGGTGTTTGGTTTTTGGAGAGGGAGAGGAGTCCATGTATGAGCCGTGCTGGGCCATGTGGCCTAAAAGTCTGTGTTGAAAGGTCCCTGGCCTATGTGATACTTTCATTGCATAGGACCCTCTACATTTCTTTCAGCTACAGCTCTTCAGACAGCTCCCAAGAGCTGCTCGAAAAGCCTCAGAGCAGAAGGCAACTGCTCCTGGTGATGGTAGAGTTAACAGTGACAGGTTTATCATGAGATCTTTCCCAAAGTTATTCTGTGAATGGAACCAGACCCAAATTATCATTTGAAACTCATGCTGTACTTTGTCCAAATCTCTATATGTCTACATGTCTGCAAAGTATTCATTGTTTCCTCCCAAGTAATTAGTTAGCTATTCCATCTGCTTCAGTAGCTTTTAATTCCGGTTAGAACAAAAGAGGGACCAGAAGGCTGGCTGGAGAAGTATCCAGCGTACTGCCAAACACAACACAAACCTCTGCCTGCTGAATCTGGAGAGCAGTGTGTAACACCCAGTCTGGAGTGACTCACGCTCTTGCAGAACCACAGGTTCCTCTCAGCCTTCCTGCACCCATGCAGCAACACACTGCGGATATGACACATTTGATGAAGGTGATAGATCACGGTTACAACTCAGCAATACACTCCTGTCGTCTGGCGTTGGTTTTGCAATATGAGATTAAAAAGGGGGGGATGGGATGGTGTTTGGCAGGAAAGAAGTAACTTGCTAAACCACAACTGTTTTCACAAGAAGTAAAAAATGTGAATATTGTGCAAAAGTGCTTGAATTATTTGAATGTTAAGATACAAACCTCTGAAATTCAGTTTTATTGGTGTAATAAATACTCAAGATTATTTCCTCTATATTTTCAGAAAAAACACTGTTTCCATTATTATTTGTAATGACTGGTCTTAAAATATTATTTTATCAGATGGAAGAGGTGATTGAAGACATAATCAATATGGAATCAAGTTTTAACGATGAAGGGATAGGTTGTTCTGAAACTCCTCTACTAATGCAAAGAACGGTAAGTATTTTGTTGAATTTTGTCCTACTGTTTGTAGCAGAGAATTTCACTGAGTGGTTCAAGCACACATCACACTTCAGAGGCTAAAGCAATACTATCAGTGGATTACTCTCTTTTCAGTTGCTCGTCTTTTTGTCAAGACATATTACAGGAAAGGGTTCCAAAGTGGTGGGACACAGCTGTTTTAATTGGTCTGTATAGCATTTAGAGTCCTAGCCCAATGCCAGGGCCGATGCATAACCTGTTGGAGGTACTAATTCCCATGCAGGAGTATGGATATGAGGAGTAACAAACTGTTACAATTTTGTAATATCTTTTTGTAAGGAAATGACAGAGTATTAAAAAAGTCTACATACATTTCCATATTTGTGACACATTTGAAGAGGAAGGATGGACCTTTTCTGGACATAACAATGCATAGAGCATTATTATTTGTGAAAATAACACCAATCAATAACTGTAATGAAACACATTTTGTAGAAGGGATGTTCTTTGTTCTCTCAACCCTGATTTGTCTTGGGAACGTTATTCCGCCTTAAAATGGGTACTGATAAAGGTAGACTTCACTCTGGGGAAGGCTGCAGGATTTTCACAGGCTTTGGCAGTCTACAAAGTTCATTTCAGAATACAAAATCAGGTGCTTGGTCTTAATCACCCACTGGAGGAACATCTTTTTCTGACTACAGAACATCACTGGCTGCAAAACTATATTAGGAGATAAGATGTCTATGCCTCTGTGTTGCCCACTACACAGCTCAGTGTTAATGGCAATTAATAGTTCCATGAATACCTGGCATTTGCATGCTAGCTACAGAACTAATACAGTTAGTCTGATTTATACATATCTCAGTACAGAGCATAGCAAAGAAGTGCTCCCTGGGGAGTGAATTAATATTTTGGCTTAAATTAACATAAGGCAGGGGAGGATCCTTTCGGGTGTGGTACCGTGGGATGGTGATGAGAGGCACGAATTCTGGGGTTTGGATTAGACTCACACTCCCTCAACACCTTTAAAAACTGGATGATGTTAATCTATGCTAATTCCAGCCTCGTTAGCCTTTATCTCCAGCCATGAAGGACATATCTCTCTAAAATATATTGAATATCCTATTCTTGACAAGCAAGGAAATATGCAGTGACTTTTAGGCCTGGCTAGTTTCTTACTTGCAAATACCTGAGACTCCTGCAATGCCTGTAGGCCAGGTAATTGCGTTTAGATTTTTGTTCTGTGGAAGTCACCAGGCTGCCAGGTAAACCAGGAAATAGCGTGTACTTCCAAATCTCTTTGCGTAATACTATGGCAAAATGAAGCCTGCCTTCACCAAAGCATGCAAACTGTGCCAGTGTGGAAGCAATCAGGCAGTGCCTCCATGTCTTCTGTCTTCTCTTTTGGTAATGTGTACTCCAAAAACATGTGAAAGAAATGTGCAGATGGAGGGGGTTTCAGCCATTTATCTTGTGACTCAGGGGTTTATGGCATTTTCCAAGCAACATCCTAAACCTAACTGCAAAATTTTGGTTGTAAACTGTGCAGTAGAAAAAGATAGAGAAGCAGGTAGAAAATACGTTCTTTATAGGTAGTTTTTCATCATCATACTAAACATAATGACATTTTGTTTATTTGAGTTAAAATTGTATACATTACAACAGTGTTGGACTAGGAGACATGATCAGGAATGAGAGAACATCTAATTCCCCTGAGAAGAGAAACTAGGATTGTGCTGTACTTAAATGGAGATTCATAATTCCAAACACAAATACAGGCTGGGCAGAGAATGGATTGAGAGCAGCCCTGAGGAGAAGGACTTGGGGGGGGTGTTGGATGAGAAGCTCAACATGAGCTGGCATTGTGCCCTTACAACCCAGAAAGCCAATCATCTCCTAGGCTGCATCAAAAGAAGGGTGGCCAGCAGGTCGAGGGAGGTGATTCTGCCCCTCCACTCTGCTCTTGTGAGACCCCACCTGGAGTACTGTGTCCAGTTCCGGAGTCCTCAACATGGGAAGGACGTGGACCTATTGGAACGGGTCCTCGAAGATGATCAGAGGGCTGGAACACCTCTCTTATGAAGACAGGCTGAGAGAGTTGGGGTTGTTCAGCCTGGAGAAGAGAAGGCTCCAGGTGGACCTTATAGCAGCCTTCTGGTACCTAAAGGGGGCCTACAGTAGAGATGGGGAGGGATTCTATGAGGTAGTGTAGCAATAGGATGATGTAATAGGGTAATGATTTTAAACTGAAAGAAGGGAAATTTAGACTAGATATTAGAAGAAATTCTTTACTGTGAGAGTGATGAGACACTGGAACAGGTTGCCCAGGGAATTTGTGGATGTTCCTTCCCTGCAACTGTTCAAGACCAGGCTGGATGGGGCTTTGAGTGACCTGCTCTAGTGGAAGGGGTCCCTGCCCATGGCAGGGGGGTTGGAACTTGATGATCTTTAAGGTCCCTTCCAACCCAAACCATTCTATGATTCTATGTACTTCTTATGTACAAAATGCCTGGCTACAGTGGCTGCCATCAACATAGAGTGAGATCCCAAGTGAGACTGAGTTGCTCACGTGCCTGGATGTTTCAGTGTTTGCTTCCTCTTTACACTTCTCCAGTGTAACGCTTAAGTACTTTTAGGATTGCATCTCAGATTTTTTGCTTCTTGGCACTGCCTTGAGTTTGTCCAAACTGTGCAAAGCCGTCTCTCTAAAATTCTGAAAAAAATCTGTCTCTTGTTTTTCTGAATATGGTAGAAAGCTTGAGCTTTTTCAGCAAAATCTTTTCTTGAACAAGAAAAAATCATGAAGCCATTTTCTTTTTTCATTTTTCTTGATAGAGAGTGCCTGAGATTAGAGACTTTGCAGTGCTACCTGTTGTGTGTTGCAGTGAATTAATGTTTGCTTTAGTTAGATGCACCCATGTACCATTTTAATGGCACATTAAATGAGGACATTGAAGTCTGTGAGACTACTCATGTGAATAATTGCTCAGAGGCTCATTGTCTGACCCTGAATTAATGAATTACAGTAATATATTAGTAGAATCAGAGAAGTGAAAACAAGAACATCCCTCCATCTCTCATTAAAATTATTACAGCTTCTGAAGATTGGATTGTCTGGCTTTTATTGTGTTTGGCCTCAAATTCATAATTTTATATAACTCTCTAGTTTTGGCTGGCAATTTAGAATTGCTCAAAGTAGGGAATTCTCTGGCTGGTTTCTGTTGTTCTTAAGAGTACCTCAATTTTAGAAACCTACTTTTTATAGAAGTTGAGTTAAAATATAAGACTAGATCCTCCCTGTATGCAAGAGGTCTTGATTCTTCTGAAAGTATTTGTAAACTCAGTTATGTCTTTGTCCCGAAAACATAGCTGAAATCAAATCATAACTATTCTTATGAACTATTACTTGATGAAAATTTTTTGTTCACCACGGAGAAGGTAGGATTTAATAAAAATAACTTGAAGATTACACCAATTTAAAGTCATTTTTCCTTGTCATAATAATTTAGTTTTATGAAACTCTTTATTAACAGTCAGCAACACATTTATTTATATTGTAAGAAATGAATTTCTTCTCTGAGTGTCATATTGGGAGTGACAAGTTTCTTCCTGACCTCATAGGAATCATTGAAAAAATGAAACAAAGAATATGTGAGTCAATATGAGCTAAATAATGTTATGTATGTCAGATATGATGACAGACATTTGAAAAGTGAATATTTTTCATTTTTATCAGATTTTCATTCTTATCCAAAATCCTTATAGTCTATTCAGCATTCTGTAATGAATTTAAAGCTTATTAACTTCCAAATGCTCAGATCATAGGAAATGTAGATGTGCAGGTCTGTTAATATAGACCATATATGATACCATCATTAAGAATTTGGGGCAAGTTCTAAAATGCTGTGGACTACATTCTTTTTGTATCTGAAAAAGGGAAGTTTAAGAAACATGTTGTATCAAGGGAGTTGTGGAGAGCTTTAGTCACAGTGAAGAGAAACAGAAAAGAGCAGAGTGAAAAAACAGGTTCTCTGTGTTTTTCAAGGTTGGATTTGACAGTGTGTGACCTAGTGAACCTCTACTTGTTACTGAATGTTGTTTTGTTTTGCTAATATATGTATACAGCCCTAGGAGTCACCAGAAAAAACCAGCAATTTAGCAAGCACAACAGTGATCTCTATGAAAACACTTGGCATTTTACCAGTACTTTCATTCAGAAATAACTGCTGTAGCCCAGATAATCACTGTACAGCTACTGGGATAATGTCCTCTACTTGACATGCAGTCCACTAAAACTTACATCAAAAGCATTAGGAGACTGACTGGCTTGGAATGAGAATAAAATGAGAGGATATTAATATTCTGCAAGGGCACAGGCTTCTCTTGCACTTCACTGGGTGGGACAGACCAGAAAACAATCTGATTTTTGCAGAAATTTCCAAGGATTCTAAGTTGTCTTTTGTTCTGGTGCAGAAGAGAAGAAGAGCTTTCAGAAGCCGAGGGAGAGAAGCTCTGTAGCAATCAGATGACTAGTGGTGGCAGCTAGGGAGTAGTACTTGGGGCAGAGCACTACCATAAAACTGGACTTCAAAAAATCCCCCACAATGGCACAACTGGCGATCTTTTGAATAAGATGGGCTCACCGGCACTGGAGTAGTGGGTATGGAATGACTAAACAAACTGGAGCAGTTCCTTTTGGATTGCCTGGGAGAAAACAGAAAGTTTTGGCATGGAAGACATTTTCATTGATATTTTTACCATGTCCAGTAGTAAATAGAGTGAAGAAAAAATGTTTCTATGTTGATTTTTTCATAATATTTAAGAAACATTTTCTTTAATTATTCCCCCAAACGAGCTTGCCAGCAGGAATATTTCCTGGAAGTAATGTCTTTTAACCAATGGAAAGCACAGATTTTATTATTATGTATGAATAAAAACACCGTAAGTGTGATCTGAAGAATTATTCTCTAGCCTTGGTAGTGCTAGACAAAGCTTGAACAAACAGCTCTTAAAAC